GGCAAGGAGACAAAGGAGCTTCAGAAGTGTATGGAAAATGAAATGAAGAGGTGTTTGTTTTGGTGCAAAAAGTTTTTGAAACCCTTGCATAATTTTTTCATAATACCCATTTCCCATGAACCTTTTGAAGACCCCTCCTGTATGCAGGGATGGAAGTTAGAACGGAAGACCCTAGAATCTAAGCCACATGAAGTGAGAGGAGGGTGAGAGGAAGTGGAGAGCCAGCAGGGCTGCTGCCTGTTGGTCCTGTCGGGGGCGGGGGCAGAGGTATGAGGACAGGGTTCTAGATTTTATCAGTGCGTGGTCGTGAATGAGCTAGCGAAAGATGGGGAAAGAGCTGCGTGCAGATCAGAAGAGAAATGGGACGTAGTTACGGTCTCGTGAGCTTCAGTGGCTCCGCTAGGCATCACACAGCCTTCATCTACAATCCTGCAATCTGAAGAATCCTGAAAACTTCAAAAAGAATTCATTGTAAATACACATAACCTCAAATTTACCGTTTTAGCCATTTTTAAGTGCACAGTCCCCCTGGCGTTGAATTTCACACTGCTGTACCCACTGCCCACCTCACCCCTATCTCTAGGGCTTTTTCATTTTGCAAAACCAAAACTCTGTACCCAACAGCAGCTCTGCTTCCCTCTACCACCTCCCCACCCTCGCTCCAGCCCTCAGTAACCGGTTTTTGTGTTGTCCATCTTTATTAACGTCACCACCGCAGGGACTGCAGATAAGTAGAATTGTACAGCGTTTGTCCTTTGGTGTCTCCAGGGTCCATGCATGCTTTACCAGGTGTCAGAATGTCCTTCCTCCGCAAGGCTGAAGAATGCCACGCTGTGTGTGTGCACTGCATTCTGCCCGCCACTCAGCTGCGGATGGACGCATGGCTGTTTGCACCTCTGTCGTCATGAACAGTGCTGCTGTGAGCACTTGTGCAGATAACCTCTTTGAGTCCCTGCTTTCTGTTCTTTGGGGTGTGCACCTGGGAGTGGAGTTGCCAGATCACGTGCTAATCCTGTTGAAGCTTGTGAGAAGCTGCCATACTGATTTTCAGACTGGCTGTGCCATCTCACATTGCTGCCGGCAGTGGGATAAGGCTCCTGATTTCTCTGCATGCTCATCAGCACTTGTTATTCTCTGGTGTCTCTTTGTGTTTTGAGGACGGAGAGTAAGTACGTCACTGTGCTCTCGTTTGCGTTCCCCTAGTGATTGGTGATGGTGAGCACTTCTCATGTGCTTGTTGGTCACCCGTGTACCTTCTTGGGAGCATGCAGGAAGATGACAACTCACCCTTCAGTAACATCTCACTCCACCTGCACTTGGCTGTTGGCAGTACATGATCTGAACAGAGCGAGCCCGTTCCTACTCTCTGCTTACCCCAGTTAATGTGAATATTCATGTTGTGTGAAAGAAATGGGACTGATTGTGGAGTATTGCCCCAAATCCTACTGGAGCTGTTGACTTAGCAGTGTACTGTAATGCTGCAAAGGTTTTGGATAAGAGTTTGTCAATTTGTAGCTTCATTTCTTTGGTGAACTTCAGTTCCAAGTTTAGAAACCTGTGCACAGACTCCTGATATGCTGAGCGTTGATTAGTCGTGGGCACCTCAACTTACTTTCTGCCACCTGCTGTTGTGTTTTCTCTTGGTGCTTTACTCTTACTGTTCCTCCTGCCCCGCTGTTTGCCTCTTAACCTCTCTAAGCCTTGTGGTCCCTCCTCCCCCATTCATTTATGTACTGCAGAGGCACAGGGGGAGAGAGAAATCTTCCATCCATTTGTTCATTCCCCAGATGCCCACAACAGCTAGGGCTAGGCCAGACTAAAACCAGGAGCTAGGTCTCCCTCATGAATGGCAGGAGCCCAGGTCCCTGGGCCATCACCTACTGCCTCTCCAGGTGCATTAACAGAAAGCTGTGTCTGAAGCCGAGGAGCTGGGACTCGAACTGGCCCCGATACGGAGCGCAGGTGTCCTGAGTGCCACGGTGCTCACCGAGCTTTGTCTCTGCCTTCTATGAAGGGGGTGTTTGCTGCTTTCAGGGCTGGATTGTGGTGCAGCAGGTGCCTCCCAGTGCAGATTCTCTCTCTGCCTTAGGTCTTGCTTTCTCCAGTTTGGAGCACGTGGACTCATTTATACACGGCACTTTCATCATGTAACCGTAATCCCTGGTGAACACAGTCACCTATGGGAGTGTTTCCAAGGGGAGATGGCATCTCTTTCCCCCAGGCTTCACGGACGCACTGACAAGAAGGGGGCAGCCCTGCCCTCCACTCTCAGTTCTCAGGAAGGGAAGCTCAGGGCAGCACTCTGATGCAGCAGAAGGGGAAGAGGGCGGCGCTGTATTGTCGTAACTCGTCGTCCTAGTGATTTTACCAGGGCCAGTCTTGGGGGGTGCTGCAGGAGTGGCCTCTGTGTGTTAGCAATTGAAATTCAGTAAGTCATTTAATGGAAGCTGAGTTCCTGTAGAAGAGTAATAATCATTTCTTATAAGCATCTGGTAATAAGGTTTTATTATCTAAAAGCAGGCATGTTTAAAATGTTCTTCTGGTTTAGCCCAATTACTGGTATATTTAATGCCCCCTTTAGTTATGGATTAAAAGGTCAGTTCTGGCCAGGAGTACTTGTCATCTTTTAAAGAACCTGGCCTATTTGGTGAGAGTGAGGATATGCAGTGGCAGGACTGTGGTTAAAAGCGCAAAACATACTTTTTCCTTTTGATTATATTAGATATCTGCTGCATTGAGAAGTTACGTGGTTAATGACAGAGTAGTTTGGCTGAAATTATAAATTAAAAAGACCTCACAAAGGCAACCTTGGAATTCGGGTATAACAATTTGACTTTAGCAAGGATGGGGTTAATGAGTGGCTTAGATGCTGCTCCCTGGCTCCCTGGCTCCGCGCCTCGACCTGGGAACCTTGGCAAACAGCAGCGGCAACGCCCTGGCTCCTGAGGCTTGCAGAGGCAGGTGGGAGTGGTGGAGGACCTGTAAGGGAGTGGCACACGGTGGGAGGGGAGGGGAGTTGTGGGCGAAGGGCAGACGAGTTCTGTACAGCCCGTCTGGTCGCAGTGATGTGCAAGCAGCTGTACTGGGACTGGGTGTCCACTTTCACTGAGGGCATCCGCCTGGAAGAGCAGCGGGCTGTTGACGGGAGGGCACTCAGACAGCAGGTAGGGCCAGCAGGGGCATGTGTGCGGCCGCAGTGCACCCCACCCCATTTGAGCCTTGCCTCGGGAAGTTAGGTTTGCTGTCTGCTGTCTGGAATTTGGTTATTCTGGTATTTTCCTCTATGACTGTTATTGTTTTGTGCTGTTAACATAGATGAAAAGGTACTACTCTAGGAATTAGAAGACTACATTCTGGAATGTAGTTTAAAGAGCAGCCCATTAAAAACCTTTTACAAAGTTTTATTTGGATTTTGAGAAAGGAAAAAAGAAAACCCTTTATTTGAACCCTCTCTGGTGTGTTCTGTACTGCGTTTGCATTTGGCAGTGCCCAGTACTTGCTAGTGATACAGCCAGTTGTCCAGGTAGTACAGGGTGTTTGTCTTCTGCTTTGAGGTCTCACTTGGCTGCCTTCCAGCGTGAAACCTGAGGCGAGTCTCTGGGCCTTTTAGAAAAAGGCTGCAAAGACAGGGGAGCCCGGTGAGCGGCAGGAAGGGCCTCTCTGTCCTGGATGAATGTGCAGAATGCCACGCCAGTGAAGAAGGTGTCAGAGCGTTCTAGCTTCTTACACGCACTGTGTCTGTGGACTCCAGCAAGGGGCTTCTGCACTGATCTTTTTGTGCTCTTCAAAGCATAACATTGAAGGATAATTTTGGCTGTTCTTTTCTCCTTTTCCTTTTTTTTTTTTTTTTTTTTTTTTTTTTAAGAAGCAGAAAGAGAGAACCCCCTCCGTTGCGTCACTCTCCAAATGCTTGCAGTGGCTCGGGGCTGGGCTCAGCTCCTGTGTAGATGGCAGAAACCCAGCTGTTTGGGCCATCGCTGCTGCCTCCCAGGGTGCGTGTTAGCAGGAAGCTGGAGTCAGGAGTGGAGCTGGTCCGTCTGGGGTGTGGGCGTCCCACGTGGCTTCACAACTGCTGGCCGAACACCTGCCCCATGGGTTGTTTCCATGGGAGCTGTTTTTAGTATTCTTGTTTGATTCTGCTGAATTCTGGTGGTTTTCTTCATATGCAGAGGCCATGTGTGATAAAAACACACTTGCACGTATGAATCTGCTGTGGGCTGGATGCAGAGTGGATCACACTGCCTTGCATTTAAGTTTTTACAGCCCATTCTCTGTGGTCTTCAGCAGAGCTTACATTTGGATTGCTGGTGTGGAGGTCTGGCCAGTTGTCTTTCTGCGGATGGTATGGGCATTCAGATTATTGCAGGCAAGGGGGCAGAGAGATTGTTTATATTTGAAACAGAAGGTAGGAAGGAAGGGATCATCTGTGTATAGCAGTTGTGTCTCTGGGCACGTCTGTGCAAAGCTGCTAATGAAGGGAGCTTTAGGTGGCGTGGAAAGTGAGCTGCAGACCCTCGGGGTACCTGTCTGGTCATGCTGTTGTCACACCACTCTTAGGCTGTGTCCTCCCCACTCTTCTGCACATGTGCGCACCTGTTCACAGGTTGTGTCTGATGTTGGTGGCTGAGGGCGTTGTGTGTCCTGCCCTCGGCACGTGTGCAGCGTCCCCCCTTCTCTTCTCTTCACCTTGTACCCCAAATGCAGCGGTTCCCCTTTCGTGCCTGAGTCATCAGCAGAGTGTTCTCAGTGCTACCGAGTACAGAAAACGTGGCGCCAGCAGGTGCGTCTGGGTCTGAGCGCTGTGTCAGCACTTTCACCTTTCATCTAGGTGCTCCATTTAAAGAATAATACGACTTATTTCAAAACTTGTTAGCTTTTCCTGGCCATTTTTTTCTCCTGTGGAATCCTGAGAAGACAACATAAAGATTCACATCTTTTTTGTTACTGTCTCAGTGTATCTTACGTAGCTAACTTTTATAATGTATTTCTTGACTATGCAGAAAGTTGGAGTGACTGGCCCCCCTGATCCACAAGTCCGCTGTCCCTCTGTCATTGAATTTGGGAAGTATGAGATCCACACCTGGTACTCCTCCCCATATCCTCAAGAATACTCAAGGTATGTTTTGAGAGGCCCTTTACCTCCTGTTCTTAGGTTTGTAGAACTCTAGGATCTTGAAGGTGGTTTTATCAGGCTCATCTTACCTTTGAGGAAGCTGGGGGCTTTTCAGTGTCCACACTGGCAGCTTGCTAGCACCCATGCAGTGCGCAGTCCCTGTTGACTTCAGATGTTCTTTTCCCATACCCTGTCTAAAAACTGCTGACAGTGAGAAGCCCTACACTTTGTCAGAATGGAAGGCAGACACTTTTTCTTTGCCCCCCCCCTTTTTTTTAAGATTTTATTTATTTGAAAGGCAGAGTTAGAAAAGGAGACACAGAAAGAGATCCTCCATCCACTGGTTCTCTCCCCAGATGGTTGCAGTGGAGGGGGCCCTGGGCCAGCCAAAGCCAGGAGCTTGGAACTCCATCCAGGTCTCCCACATGGGTGCAGGGGCCCAAGCACTTAAGCCATCTTGTTCTCCTTTCCCAGACACCTTAGCAGGGAGCTGGATCAGAAGTGGAGCAGCTGGGACTTGAATCAGCACTTGGGTGGGATGCTGGCACAGCACTGGCTCCAGGATACTTTTTCTTTAAGAGAAATTTGCCTTCACTTCTTAGACTAAGAGTTTTGCTTTAATGAAATGATTGCATCTTATAAATAACTGTAAATAAAAGTCTCACTTGTGAATAGCTTTTTATCTAAATTAGTTGAACAAACTTGGTGAATGGTTCATTTTCCCAGAAATAATTGTACAGCAATATAAATAAGCTATAAATAGCTCAAGTTTCCAGATTAAAAATTGCCCCTTCACCAGGTTTTTGGGATGAGGCAGCATGCTCAGTGTAGCTAAGTGTGTCGTTGACTGAGATCTGACATTCATGAGCTGTGTAGCCTGGGAAGCTGCGCAGCCCCGCCGTGCCTCCATCAGGAGTGACTCTGGGGCTCACCTCGTAGACTCACTGCAGACCTCCAGTGAGCCAGAGCGTGTCCCTCACTCAGAAATCGGGGCTCAGTGATGTCGCTTCCTGGGTAGGTCAGGTGAAAAGAGCTAAAATAGGATGTGGTAAGAAAGTCAGCACTGGTTTATTATTTGAAATATGACAGTCTTCAGACTGCTTAGCCTCAGCCTCCCCTCTCGCAGGGTGTTAGATTGTGGTGCTTTGTTCAGAGAGGACGCTCCTCAGACAGCCTGCTCCAAGTGTTAACAAAGTGAATTAGCTGGTACTTTGTAGTGTGTAGAGTACTTTAACATCGAGTGTTTCCATGAGGCAGGGCACAGGCCAGTATGGTTATTAACCGGTAAGAAGCTTTTCATCTTCATGTAATGAACGGGTTGCTCACCTGGTCTGCGAGTCTACAGCAGAAGTAGAACAATAGGGGCAAGAATGCTGTTACAAACTGAGCTCAGTGAGGAAGTCACAGCCGACAGGAAAGAGGGGAAGGCAGCACTGCAGGACCAGGCTGTGTAGACACTCGTGAAGTGACGGTCGAGAGCCGGGGACTGTGGGGTCAGTTAGCCCGAATCTGACTCACTCGTGAACTCGCCCGGGGCTCTTCAGAGTGGCAGATCGTGAAATAACCGTTCATCCGTGTTTGTAAATGTTAAGTGCGGCAGAAAAGGCCTCAGCTTCCCGGGAAACTCAGGTGCGCAAGGTCAGCCAGTGCCGCGTCCCGCCCACTAGTGTGTCTTAGGACATCTCTGCTCCCCGAGTCTCCTGACTCAGCTTGGTGCACACTCTAGGGCCAGGCTTGGCTACTCTCCTAGCAATGGGAACTTCCTTCCCAGTTACGGAAGAAGAGACCACACGGGACGCTCAGCACCTCTGGCTACTAAACAAGTGAGACAGGTGAGAGGGGAGTAAACAAACCGTAGCAGCTGTAATTACCACTTGTTGAGCGCAGTCCTGAGCGCCTCTGGAAGAATTCCGTGAGGACTAGGTGACTGTGCCCGTTTTACAGACCGGGGCCCCCCAGACATAGGCAGGTTCTTCTTGTGGGCAGCAGAACCAGGACTTCCGCTCGTGTCTCTCTTAGCCGCTTCATACAGCATGGGTGTCTAGATGGCGCTCTCTTGGCTTGTACCACAATGCTGTATTTAAGTAATACTTGCTATGATTTTTATTGTTATATGAAAATTTTATGGGACTGATGTTGTGGCATTGCAGGTTAAGCCACTGCCTGCAACACCGGCTTCCCAAATGGGCACCGGTTTGAGTCCCAGCTGTTGCACCTCCAGTCCAGCTGTTAATGGCCTAGGAAAGGCAGTGGAAGATGGTCCAGGTGTTTGGGTCCCTGCTACCCCCGTGGGAGACCTGGAAGAAGCTCTGGCTCCTGGCTTCAGCCTGACCCAGCCCTGGCCATTGTGGCCATTTGGGGAGTGAACCAGCGGATGAAGATATCTTTCTCTCTGTCTCTCCCTGTAATTCTTATTTCCAAAATAAATAAAATAAAATCTTAAAAAAAAAATTGCACTACAAGGTGCTGCTGTCCTGGGCAAGACTGAAAAGCCAGAAGGTACTCCAGGAATTCCTTGGAAGAATATTTGCATCCCACCAGAAGTAGGAGAACTACACACAGCTGCAGCCCAGGCTCGCCTTCACAGGCTGGGGAGCCAGCACACAGGCAGGCTTCAGAGCCGGCTCCACTTGCCACACTGCTGCCCACAGCGGCTGGTAGCTATCTGTTTGACAGGGCCTCGGTGCTGCCAGGAAGAGCAGCGACAACAGAATTCTCTAGGGCTGGGAGAATTTGTGATACCTGTAACTGCTCTTTATTTCCTGTAGCCTGGTGTTCTTTCTGTATAATATGTTCTTCTAGTGAGAGAGTTGCAGCCATTTGAATTGTTACTACAGAAACGTTTTGGGGGCTGGTGTTGTGGCATAGCGGGTAAAGCCACTGCCTGTAACTTAGTTCCTGTCCCAGCTGCCCCTCTTGTGGTCCAGCTCTCGGCTGATGGCCTGGGAAAAGCAGCAGAAGATGGCCCAGGTGTTGGGGCCTCTGCCACCCATGTGGGAAACCCAGATGAAGCTCCTGGCTCCTGGCTTCAGCCTGGCCCAGTGTTGGCCATTGCATCCATCTAGGGAGTGAACCAGCAGAGGGAAGATCTCTTTCTCTTCTTCTATGTCTATAGCTCTTTCAAAATACATTAAATGAAATCTTTTTTAAAAAAAGGTAAGACAGAAATGTTTTGTTTTCCTGGGAGTTTTCTCAAAGGATTTCCTTGAGATTGACAGTGTTGTCTCGTTAGGCTTGGTTCTCGTGAAGGAAGGGACTTCTAAAATGTTTTCAGCACGACGAGATTGGAACAAAGTAGACTACAATGTCTGTTTTTACTACTTTTAATATGATTGAATTCATGAAAGTTTTAAAAATCGTTAATAGAATACTATTCATCTTGCTATTCTAAGGAAATAGCATGAACTCATAATTTATTAGGAAATATTTGGCAATAATTTTCTTGGATTTTACTTCTGATGTTTTGAGCATTTGAACTTTAAAAAATTTTGCCTTCTCTCATTTGACCTTAGGAGATAAACTACACTTTGTTTGGTTTCTTTCTTTCTTTATGTTTCCAGAAGAGTAATTCGTATTTGTTAGGTATTTTTAATTTTAATTTTTGAAAAGATTTATGTGAAAGACAGAGTGACAGAGTTCTTTTGTCTTTTGATGCGCTCCCCAAATGGCCAGAACAGCAGGGGCTGGGCCAGGAGCTCCGTCCAGGTCTCCCACATGGGTGGCAGGAGCTCAGGGACTTGACCCATCATTTATTACTTCCCAGGCACATTAGCAGGGAGCTGAGCTGGACTGGAAGCAGAGTGATCAGGACTCCAACCAGCACTCCAGTATGGAACGTGGACTTCCCAAGCAGTGGTTTTTACCTGTAGCATGTGCACTGTGTCCCTTTTTTTAGTTGGCATACAATTGTATGTATTCTTCATGTGCAATATATTTTGAAGTATGTAAGTATGTGTACACTGTGGCATGATTAAATATAGCTAGCTAACATAAATTGCACTTAAGTTTCATGTCTCTGTACTGAGACCTAAAACAGTAGGATTGGATTTTTTTTTTTTTTTTTCCTAAAGATTTAGGAAGAGGTACAGAGAGAGACAGAAAAAAAAAAAATCTTTGATCAACTGGTTCACTCCCTAAATGGCTGCAACAGCCAGAGCTGGGCAGTTCCAAAGCCAGGAGCCAGGAGCTTCTTCCAGGTCTTCCACGTGGGTGCCGGAGCCCAAGGACTTGGGCAGTCTTCCACTGCTTTCCCAGGCCACAGCAGGGAGCTGGGTCAGAAGTGGAGCAGCTAAGTCTCAAACTGGCGCCCATATGGGATGCCGGCACTGCAGGCAGAGGCTTTACCTGCTATGCCCCAGTGCTGGCCCCAGATTGGATGCTCTTAAAGTTGTGTTTGTCTTTACCATAATTTGGAAAGCTTGTTAGTCTGTCAGTATTTTTTTTTTAATGAATTTTATTCATTTGGAAGACAGCGAGTGAGAGAGACAGAGCCCCCATTTGCTGGTACACTCCAGAAAGCCTGCAAAGGCTAAGGCTGGGCCAGGATCCTGGAGCTGAATCCCTGTCTCCCACGTGGGTGCAGGGACCCAATCACTTGAGCCGTCACCTGTCCATTCCAGGAAGCTGGAATCAGGGACTAGAGTCGGGACTCAGGCAGTCTGATGTGGGATGTGTGCGTTCTAAGAGGCATCTTGTGTTAAATGCACTCTGTCGCTGTCTTTTTTGCTCATTTTCCTTTTCAGTGTTATTGAAAGCGTAGAATTGTGTTTAGGTCTCTCAGATTCACATTTATAGGAAATATTCAGCTATAATATTTACATCTCAAAGCAAAGCTGTATTTGAGTAGTGTTATTTGTATATCTTCCCATTTTGACAAGTTAAAACTGGTTGTTGAGAATCCAGCGCAGGTAAATAAAGGTAAGTTGGGGGGTGGGATGCCATTTTCCCACCTTTCTCCTAAGAAGAAGTTGTTTAGGATCAGGTATCCAGAGTTACAGTCTGTCAGCTGTGGGTCACCTTCGATACTGAAAACCCAGGTGCATGTGCCAGTGCAGGCGCTGGATGATGGTGCAGCCTGCCGCCCGGTGCTGAAGGGGGAGAGCGTTGTGGTGCCGTCCTTCGTCCCCTGCCCCAGGCAGAGGGAAGAAGCGGAGTAGCCCAGGAAACATTCCCTTGTCATGCCCTTGGTGCTCCTGCTGGGCTTGAATTTATAGTCACTGTTTCACTCAGTACTTTATTTTGGAAGGATTTTTGTACTAATGCTATAATTTCATGTTATGCTGATGTGGTTAGTATTAGAGTGTGGAAAGCCATACTGCGTATTAGAGACATTTCAAACTATACATTAGTTCCTTGGAAGCTTTCAGTGTACTGAAATGGCATTTTAAAAATAAGCCGTGAGATTACATGGGAGGAGATGGTGCGCACTGGGATTCCCCACAGGAGAGGGAAAGGAAGTCGTGTGGGCTGCTCCAGCCTACTGGAGCAGAAGCACTTACGGTGTACTAACCACACCTCCAGAAGGCTTCGGCAGGGTGCCGGATGCTGCAGGAGCTGCTGCCAGAGTGACGTTTAATACATTGTGGTGGTCTTCAGATTTTAATAAGTGCGTGTGTCTACTTAGCAAATACCATTTTCTTTAACGCTAAGGTAATCTTTGTTTTTTTGAGCATAACAGTCTATACTGATAACAACTAAAATAGTTTTTTTTTTTTTATTTTCTTCCACCTCAGTTCTTAGAGTCAAAATATGGTAATTGTTTGAATTGCATCATCTGTTATTTTAACATCCAGTATTTTTGCATATGTAGGGTTTTTTTTTTAAGATTTATTTTATTTGAAAGAGAGAGCGCACACGCATGCACTCTGGTTCACTCCCTAAATGCCCATGGCTAGGCCATGCTAGGAGCCAGGAACTCCATCTGGGTCTCCAGTGTGGGTGGCAGGAACCCAAGCACGTGGGCCTCCCAGGTGCATAAGCAGGGAGCTGGGTCAGTGCTCTGACAGCGGACATGGTGTCCGAGCAGTGACTCAACCTGCTTCACCTCCAACGCCCACCTTTGCAAATGCGGTTCTGTGACTGCATCAGATCTCAATGCTGGGTACGGGAGGCCAGCTCTCTGCTGAGCTCACACAGTGACAAGCACTGGCGGCACTTTGTGACAGAAGATTGGTGGTGTACAGATTCAGACTAAGAGCCACTGGTATTTACTTTAGGTTATGTTCCTTCCATTGTCGTAAGAACTGGTCTAATTACTCAGCTTTATTGCCAATATTATAAAGAAATTCTGTTTTGATTAAAATAGAAACACTATTGAAATAAATATAGTGTAGCAACTGAAAGCATTTAAAAAGTAATTTGAGGCCGGCGCCGCGGCTCACTAGGCTAATCCTCCGCCTAGCGGCGCCGGCACACCGGGTTCTAGTCCCGGTAGGGGCGCCGGATTCTGTCCCGGTTGCCCCTCTTCCAGGCCAGCCCTCTGCTGTGGCCAGGGAGTGCAGTGGAGGATGGCCTAGGTGCTTGGGCCCTGCACCCCATGGGAGACCAGGAAAAGCACCTGGCTCCTGGCTCCTGCCATCGGATCAGCGCGGTGCGCCGGCCGCAGCGCGCCGGCCGCGGCAGCCATTGGAGGGTGAACCAACGGCAAAGGAAGACCTTTCTCTCTGTCTCTCTCTCTCACTGTCCACTCTGCCTGTCAAAAAATAAAAATAAAAAAAAAAAAATAAAAAAATAAAAAAAAGTAATTTGAGCCTCTATGAATAATTTATTGAATGAAAAGACTTTTGAGTTACCTTTCATGTGGTGACGTGTAACCAGGAGAGAGCCAGGATGAGGTATGTCCTAACCTGCCGAAACAGGCTCATTGTTAGAATTCCGTCTGTAAACGCACACGGAGTGTACCAGGTGTACTCCGTAGCGCTCAGCACTGTTAGAATTCCGTCTGTAAACGCACACAGAGTGTACCAGGTGTACTCCGTAGCACTCAGCACTGTTAGAATTCCGTCTGTAAACGCACACGGTGTATACCAGGTGTACTCCGTAGCACTCAGCGCTGTTAGAATTCCGTCTGTAAACGCACACGGAGTGTACCAGGTGTACTCCGTAGCGCTCAGCACTGTTAGAATTCCGTCTGTAAACGCACACGGAGTGTACCAGGTGTACTCCGTAGCGCTCAGCACTGTACAAGGAATCTTCAAGAAGTTCTTGAGAAATGTGTGTCTTAGGAAAAAGCTGTGCATAGAATTCAAAAATGCTTTACACCAAAATTATATTTTAATTCCGTTTGTGCATAAATTTTTTGAGGTGGCTTCATAGTGTACATATTCCAGGGCATGGAACACAGTAAGTGTTGAGCAGAGATTTCTTTTCTGAAAGTAGTAGATGAATAGCAAATAAATAAAAGAAATAACAGAGGAAGAAAGAATATACAGTTCAGCAATCTTCACCTACATTCCTGTGTTCTGAACGTAGGCTTTATTTTCTGCTTACTGGAGAGTCTCAAGAATGGGGACTGTGGGCCAGTGCTGTGATGCAGTGGGTTAAGCTGTAGCCTGCGGCACCAGCTTCCCATATGGGTGGCAATTCAAGTCTCGGCTGCTCCACTTCCGATCCAGCTCCCTGCTAATGCACCTGGGAAAAGCGAAGGAAGATGGCCCAAGTGCCTAGGCTCCCCTGCACTCTGCCTTCAGCCTGGCCATTTGGGGAGTGAACCAGCACATGGAAGATTCTCTCTCTCTGTCTCTCTCTGTCTCTACTTCTCTCTCTGTAACTCTGCCTTTCAAATAAATAATCTTTAAAAAAGAAGAAGGGGGGCTGTGAGGTTTTGCGCTCTGTGGACCAGCTACCCTTGGAAGACATGCATGATTGGCCTAGTGGGAAGAGTGCTCTGCTGTGTGTTACCTGGATACTGTTACCTGAAGTAGTAGAAGTTGCAGGTAACAAATGGGGATAACAATGCTTGCTCTACCTTTTTCACCTAAGCCGTGGTAAAAGGCAAAGCTAAGCTGAGGGTTGTAACAGTCTGAAGTCCTGTAAAATGTAAAGCCCTGTCTTTTGCAATCCTTACTTCCAGGCTCCCTAAGTTGTATCTCTGTGAATTCTGTCTGAAATACATGAAGAGTAGAGCCATTCTGCAGCAGCACATGAAGAAGTGTGGCTGGTTCCACCCGCCAGCCAACGAGATCTACCGCAAGAACAACATCTCTGTCTTCGAGGTGAGCAGCTGTGTGCCAGGCCTCTCTGCCTGCTTCCAAACCCGGGCCTCCGCACGCCACCTAACTGTGGGGCCAGGGCCAGCTGAGCTTCGCCCCCCGGTGACCTCAGAACAAGTTCTGTATTCCAGAGGCAGCAGTTACAACGTAGCTTACTCTTAGGTCACACTGAAAAGGAAAAGTAACTGCTAATTATAATTTTAAGGCTCCATTTGAGTATAAAATACCAACCAGTTTTGCATACGTATAGATATAGTAAAAGAACATTTTAGAATCGATGAAATCCGGCCGGCGCCGTGGCTCACTAGGCTAATCCTCCACCTTGCGGCGCCGGCACACCGGGTTCTAGTCCCAGTAGGGGCACCGGATTCTGTCCCGGTTGCCCCTCTTCCAGGCCAGCTCTCTGCTGTGGCCAGGGAGTGCAGTGGAGGATGGCCCAGGTGCTTGGGCCCTGCACCCCATGGGAGACCAGGAGAAGCACCTGGCTCCTGCCATCGGATCAGCATGGTGCGCCGGCCGCGGCGGCCATTGGAGGGTGAACCAACAGCAAAGGAAGACCTTTCTCTCTGTCTCTCTCTCTCACTGTCCACTCTGCCTGTCAAAAATAAAATAAAATAAAAACAAAAAAATAGAATTGATGAAATCCAACATTTAAATGAAAGGATTTCTGTTACTTATTGAAGAGGAGTATCTCATAGAGATAGAATTAATAGAATCAGTAAGTGTTAGTATGTGGCTGATGGGACTTGTGATTCTGTATTGCTGTCAATGGCGGCCTGTAATTTTTTGAGTGCTGTGGTTTGAGTGTCAGGTAGTAACTGAGTGCTTTGCTGGCACCCGGTCCTCTCTCACTGCTTCAGCCGTAGACTTTGAGGCTGTCAGGGCCCTCCCGGTCTCCCGCTGTCTCCATCTTCCCTAAGATGTGGTTTTGGTGGGGTCACTTAAGGCCCTTGAGCACCTTTTGGGAGGGGAGATGGGTGTGCTCTGGGGTGCTGAATACCCGAAAGCAGTTGGCTTCTCAACTGAAGCATCTGTTGGTCTGTATTTTCCACTGAGGAGTTCTGACAGTGTGCTGGACAGTGACAGTGTCTCGGGAGCCAAGTGGACATCCGGTGGCGTGTTCATAAATGAGCCAGTATCAGCAATTCCAGAAACAGAGGTGTCAGGAGCAGTGGCCAACCTGAGCCTCATTGCAGGTTCTCAGCCTTGGGAGCCTGCCTGGTGCTTCTGAGTAGCAGTGGTTAACTCTCCCTCAAGTAGCTTTGTTTGGGAGGACACCTGGTCCTGGTCATCAGACCATATTGCTTCAGGCTGCTGGTGGGGATGAGTCTGCAGTTAAACTGCGCTTTACCATAAAAGTGGGTTTTAGAAGCGCTCATGTTCAGATCTGCTCATGAAGAGCGTGAAGCTTGCTTGTAAAGGCTTCCTGCAGCTGATCTTTTGATACAGTGAACCGCGTCATGCACTCCCTGTCTCGCCGGCCCTGCTGTGTTCAAGTGCGTGTCCCCTGTGTTGAGCTGTTGCCCTGTGTGTTCTGCTCACTGACAGCTTCTCTCAGGCTGCGCTGTGGGCGCTGACCAGTCTGCTCTGCCTTTTCCCTCCAGGTCGACGGGAACGTGAGCACCATTTACTGTCAAAACCTGTGTCTCCTGGCAAAGTTGTTTCTTGACCACAAAACACTCTATTATGACGTGGAGCCATTTCTTTTCTATGTGCTAACGCAGAATGATGTCAAGGGCTGCCACCTTGTTGGCTACTTTTCTAAAGTAAGTACGTCAGCTTAGAAGGTTTGAATTCATGTGAGACCTAAAGCAGTCTTTGCTGCTGACTATAAGACACTGCGGAGGCCGGTGCGTGGCTCACTTGGTTAATCCTTCCCCTGCGGTGCTGGCATCCCATATGGGTGCTGGGTTCTAGTCCCGGTTGCTCCTCTTCCAGCCCAGCTCTCTGCTGTGGCCCGGGAAGGCAGTGGAGGATGGCCCAAGTGCTTGGGGCCTTGCACCCCATGGGAGACCAGGATAAGTACCTGGCTCCTGGCTTCGGATCAGCGCAGTGCCGGCTGTAGTGGCCATTTGGGGAGTGAACCAACGGAAGGAAGACCTTTCTCTCTGTCTCTCTCACTGTCTATAGCTCTACCTGTCAAAAAAAAAAAAAAAAAAAAAAGACACACTGCGGGGCACAGTGCCTTGTAGGTGTCATTGAGCTTGTAGGAGAGGAAGAGAGACTCAGCGAGTGCTGGAAGGTGCCTAGTGACATTTAACAGGCTGCAGTCTCCTAGGAACTTGGGCTGCTGGTAGTACTCCAGAGGGGTTTCAAAAATGACTCACATTCCCATGGTGACAAAGATGCAGCTTGTGAAGTAAACACAGTCATCATCTCAGAGCTGTTTCTGCGCTTGAATCTTCTCTTCCTTGTTTGGGTTTTAGCCGTAGAAGTAAGAACAAGAAGACTTTTATTTAAAATATAAATATATATTTTCTTCTTTCTTAATCTTCCATTCCCTCCGGGAAAAAAAGTCAACATAAAATATGTATTTTTATTTAAGCAAGTTCATGGTAAAATCTAAAAGTGTAAAACACTTAACATCATAAGAGTTCTTCACGTAGGCTATGTCATTAGCTAAATACAATTTAAAACATGTTGATTGATTTATGAAAGTATGCTTAAAGGCCAGCACTGTGGTATAGCAGGTAAAGCCGCCGCCTGCAGCACCAGCATTCCATGTGGACGCTGGTTCGAGTCCCGGCTGCTCCACTTCCGATCCAGCTCTCTGCTATGGCCTGGGAAAGCAGTAGAAGATGGCCCAAGTCCTTGGGCCCCTGCACCCACTTGGGAGACCTTGGAAGTAGCTCCTGTCTCCTGGCTTCTGTCTGTCCCAGCCCTGGCTGTTGGGGCCATTTTAGGGAGTGAACCAACAGATGGAAGATATCTCTCTCTCTCTCTGTCTCTCCTCCTCTCTCTGTAACCCTGCCTTTCAGATCAGTAAATACATAAATAAAATCCTTTTTTGAAGCATATACTTAATTATTATTCAGGACTATTTTGTGTAATGTTAGGTATAACTAATGGGTGGGAGTGCATCAAAACAGGAAATAAAGGAAACTTAGCAGTCGCTGGATCTTGTTTCTGGAGTCACACGTGGATTCATCGTTCACAGCTTTGCAGATTGTATAGGCCCAGACCCCTCTGCTGGTCTTGGGCGTTGACCTCATGTTTTTGAGTTGCAGATGGGGTTAAGTGGCATGACTTTGTTTTATGTTTCTGCTCTCCTGGGACAGTTGCTTTGTGGGTAATGGCAGTGACTTAGCGCTGTCCTTCTCCCATGGAGGGTTTCTCCTTGGTGTGTCTTGCTGTCCCTAGGGCTGGGCTCTGGTGTGGCTGTTAGCCTTTGTTTCTTAATAATTCATATTGCTGTTTAGTTTTTACCTGATTATTAAAACTCGGCTCTGTTTTCTCCACCAGGAAAAGCACTGCCAACAGAAATACAACGTTTCCTGCATAATGATTCTTCCGCAGTACCAGCGTAAGGGCTATGGCAGGTTTCTCATCGACTTCAGTAAGGATGATATTCACATAAGTTCTCCTTAGCGCTTCCTGGCACCTTCTCCCTGTGTCTGTTTTGAAGTTTCCTAGATGATGTACTGGCTGTTACTATCTTTTGTCACTTTATGGTCTTCAGAGCCGCAAGTTCTTTTGGTTGGACATGGTATTTTTAAATAGCTGATACTGAGTACAGTTTTATGTGAACAACAGCAAACATCTTTGTCACTGTTGATTTATACAGAAACTTAGTTTTACACGGTAATGTGAACAATAGCACTAAAAGTGTTACAGAACTGCTTACATTAATGATATTAACGATTAAGGCACCTGCCCCATTTTTGTTACGCACTTGTCTGAGATAATGTGCACTTTTAACTAACAGATTCTACCTAGTGGTCAAAATGGGCAACACACCTTTAAAGACCTTGAGAATGCTACAAGAAAAGTGAAAACCAATAGTTACAAAGAGTTCATTGTGAACTGGCATTTTGTCTCACTCTGATAATCTGGAAAAGTTCAATGTCTTTTTTAATACATTTTTGAATGATTATAAAATAGTGTTATAATGGAATTTTCCCCCTAGATATTGCTGAAGTATTCAGAGGAATTTATGCGGGAATAATGGTTCAAGCCAAGGATTTTGACTCTTGTCTTGGGCAGCTAAATTCTAATGTGGACTGACCAGCCCTGCCGTGTGTGGCTCTAGACCAGTGCTCCTGGTTATGTCACTGAAAGTCAGCTTCCGCTTGTTCTGTATTTTCCTAGGCCTTTTTGGATTAGCAGTAGGGTGTGGAATTCATATTTCCATCTTATTTTGAAAGTGGACTCGTGACTCAGCCTGTTGCATGTCACTAAATAACAAAGTTAGGGAAAACGTTTTATTTAGGGTGATGAGTCTGTTTTGAAATGACATAGTCAGCAACCTTGGGTTCAGCATTTTTGCTAATGCACATTTTCAGATCACTGTTCTTAGACTACTTTTACATTCTCTTTATTGATAGAAAGGACATTTCTCCTGCCAGCTCCATTTTGTGTGTGTGTGATTTTTCCCATAAAATCGATGCCCTTCCTTTCTGATTCCTACGAGTCATGCCCTAGACAGTGGTGCAGCACGTACGCTCACAGTGGTACTCAGGTGACAGTCTGCTTGCCCAGAGTTAGAGATAGGTGAGAAGAGCTGCAGTTGAGGTGAGAAATTCTCTAGTTTGCTCTCAGAACACTCTTGATAGGACCACACACCAGCCAAGCCATTCTTGTGTCTTTCTCAATTCAGATGTAGCCGTTGCCATCTGGAGGCCCAAAGACAGCATACATGGGTAGTCTCCTGCCGTCGTAGATGGCGGAGGTGGGAGCCACTGCGGCCTTCACCTGACTGACGCTGCCCGGTTGTTGACAGTGTGACTGCTTTGACAGAGTGACTTACATGACCTGTAGATGGCTGATGCTCACCCCATGTTCTCTGTGTGCAGGCTTTGCAGTTTTATTCCCCTCTCTTGGAACGGATTTTCCTTTGAAATGATTTCTGCTGGTGATGTGTTGATTGGCTCTAGAGGGCAGGGTTGGGATGTTGCTGAATCGGACATTTGTAGGGTCTCTGACACAGCTGTGATTTCGGGTTCCCTATAGGTTATTTGTTATCAAAGCGGGAAGGCCAGGCAGGGTCTCCAGAGAAGCCGCTGTCCGATCTGGGCCGCCTTTCCTACATGGCCTATTGGAAAAGCGTGATACTGGAGTGCCTCTACCACCAGAACGACAAGCAGATCAGCATTAAGAAGCTGAGCAAGCTGACTGGCATCTGCCCGCAGGACATCACGTCCACACTCCATCACCTGCGAATGCTGGACTTCCGCAGCGACCAGTGAGTGCCGCACGCCTTTTGTCCCTCCGAAGGGCGCTCACCGAACAGCAGCCAGCACCACTGGCATGCATGGCGGTACAGAGCTGGCGTCTTCCTGTCCGTGGTGTTTATGCCGTTTCTGTAATGCACTGGGAAGCATTTGCCCGGGTTCGCTGTTCCACTCTCATGGTGGTTGTAGCATAGGTGGCCTGTTCTTTTGTTTGTTTTAAGATTGATTTATTTTTAAAGATTTATTTCCTTGAAAGGCAAGGGTGGGTGGGGTTGGGGGAAGACGTTCCATACACTAGTTCACTCCCCAAATGGCTGCAGTGTCCAGGGCTGGGCCAGGCTAAAGCCAGGGGTCCAAGTGCTTGGGCCATCCTGGCTTTCCTGGGTGCATTGGCAGGCAGGGAGCCGGATCAGAAATGGAGCAACTGGGACTTGAACTGGGGGCTGTGTCCCCACGGCAGTCCCAGGCAGCCCATCTTTGAAGTGTCCATCTTCATCTCCAGGGTCTCCTGGGGACTCTGTCTCCATTTTCATTTTTATGGACTTCGTGTACATTGTTGATTGCTATAAACTTTTCTCTGGTTCCAGATTTGTGATTATCCGCCGGGAAAAACTTATCCAGGATCACATGGCCAAGCTTCAGCTGAACGTGCGACCTGTGGATGTAGACCCGGAGTGCCTGCGCTGGACTCCCGTCATCGTCTCCAACTCTGTTGTCTCAGAAGAGGAGGAAGAGGAGGCTGAGGAAGGAGAGAACGAAGAGGCACAGGGTCCCGAAGGAGAATTAGAGACCAGTGTAAGGGCAGTGTACGGTCGCTGTTGTTGATGGCGGGAGATACATTCTTGGTTTTCATGGCTGCTTGTGATGCATTACGATATCCTACCAACAGAATGCATTCTTCCAAGAATTTCAGTGGTGGAAACTTCAGGAAAAATGTCTTATTTACTTACTTGTGTGTTCGTAAGCCTTAGACCATTAGGAGACTGCGATTTCTGATAACCTGTTGCTTACGATTAAATATTTCATAGCACGGTACCCACAGGCAGCTCAGTTTCGAGCTGTATGGGCAGAACGGAGACTCCAGATCGAATCTGGCCCTGACAGCTGTGGAAATGCAGATGCGTTTTCCTTAGAGCAGAGTGCAGGAGGTGATGTTGTAGACCCGTGCGTGTTTTGTGCCAGCGCAGTGAAGCCTTCGGTGTGCACACGGATGTCTGTAGCCATCACAGGGTCCGTGCCCGACTGTACCACACTGTGGTCGTCAGCGTTCGGATGATGCCTGCCTTGCTTGCTCCTGTTTTTTTTTTTTTTTAAAGCGTGCTTTCATCCTTTAAAATCTGTCCTCTTTTGATAAGCATAAAAAATTTCATGCCTCTCTTTAGGGCAATTTAATTTCCAAAGTGGAATTGAATATTCAGAATAAAAGTAAAATAATTACAGCAATTTTCTTTCAAGTTTCTGACACCCTATTGGCTCTTCCCATGCCCCAGGAGCTTATCTCCTCCCTGTTTTTAAATTTGCATTTCTTTCTTTTTAAAAGATTTATTTGTTTACTTGAAAGCCAGAGTTGGGGGCGGGGGGTCTTCCATCTGCTGGTTCACTCCCCAGATGGTCACAGCCGGGCTGAAGCCAGGAGCCAGGAGCTTCCTCCAGGTCTCCCACGAAGGTGCAGGGTCCAAGCACTTGGGCCATCCTCCACTGCTTTCCCAGGCTCCATCAGCAGGGAGCTGGATCAGAAGCAGAGCAGCTGGGACACAAACCAACACCCATATGGGATGCCGGCCCTGCAGACAGAGGCTTAGCCTATGACAACACAGCGCTGGCCCCTAAATTTTTATTTCTAAGAAATTGCATAAATAATCTCATTTAACACTGACAAGAATAGTTTGTTGAAGATGCTATTGCAGAGTGGTTAAGAGCATAACTCTGAAGTCAAGCTGCGGGGTTTGTACCTCAGCTTCTTCACTCTCCTGTTAGAAGGTCCACGCAGGCCACTGCAGGTGTCTACCCGGGCTCCCTCAGTGGCACGTAGAAGGCCCATGCAGGCCACTGCAGGTGTCTGCCCGGGCTCCCTGTGACATGTAGAAGGCCCACGCAGGCCACCGCAGGTGTCTGCCTGGGCTCCCTGTGACACGTGATCCAGTGCTGGGAAGCATTGAAGACTGCCTGGCATGACAGCTCTTCAGTAGCTGGCACTTCTCCTTTCCCACACCACTTGCTTTTCTTACCTTGTTCTTCAAAACTCAGGAGAGGTAGATGGGGCCAAGCAAGATGGGAGAACTGACCGGCGTGGTTTCCTTTTCTGACATCAGGTGGGACAGCCTGCGTCCCGGGAGAGCAGAGAGCAGGATTCCTACTCTTCAGTGGAAAGCGACAAGAAGCCAGAAGTGACTGCAGCCAACACCCCCCGGTCCAGCAAGTCGGCGCCGCCCCGGGACAGCCTGCCGCCTCGCAGGGGCCGCTGGGGGCGCAAGGCCCGGCGAGCCCCGGAGCGCTTCGGGGACCCTGAGTCTGCGCTGCTGCTGGAGGAGAGCCCGGCGCCGCAGGAGCCCTATGGAGAGTGTGGGGAGAAGCCGGAAGCCCCCCGCGAGCCCCGCGCTGAGGCTGAGCCGCCGCCGCCTCCCTGTCGGGAGCAGCCCCCCCAGGACAGGAAGCCCGAGGTCCCTAAGAGGAGACTGAGCGAGGGGGTGGAGCTGTGGCGGGCTCAGCTCCAGAGCAGCCCCGAGGCCCTCAAGTGCAGGCCGACCGAAGGGAGCGACAGACTGCCTCGGCGCTACAGTGACGGCGACAGGGCCCTGCTTCGGGGCTTCAGCGAGAGCAGCGAAGAGGAGGAGCCCGAGAGCCCGCGCTCAGCCTCACCGCCGGTCCTCACCAAGCCCATGCTGAAGCGGAAGGTACCGCCCGGCTCCTCGCCCCTCTTGCTCTAGTAGCTTGCCTGCAGAGCCCCGCCAGCTCCCCGCGCGGTGGCTTCTCAGAAGTCACAGGCATTGCTTCTGAAGCCCTAAGCTCGGGTGAAGGCTGCAGACTGTTTTGCATCTAGTTGGTTTGATTCTGAGTCCTGTGTACAGGGGCTACTGCAGGTGGGAAGTGTTTGTGTGAGGAGAGGAGGCCAAGAGCAGCACACTTAAGTAGGAGGTTAGCAGAGAGGTGCCCTGGGTGTAGGGCCCCCACCAAACCACCTTCTCCTTGTCCCACACAGTCCTGTAGGAAATATGTGTGTGTGTGTGTGTGTGTGTGCGCGCGCGTGCGCGTGCACGTGCGTGCATAACATTTACCTGTTTACATACAGAGGAGAATCTTCCATCCACTGGTTCACTCCCCAGATGGCTACAACAGCCAGGGATGGCCCAGGCCAAAGCCAGGAGCCTGGAGCTCCATTGAGGGCTCCCATGTAGGTGGCAGGGGATGGCGCTTGGGCATTTTTTGTTGCTTTCCCGGGCTCATTAGCAGGGAGCTGTATCAGAAGCTGAGTGGCCAGGACTCAAGTTGGCGCTCCGATATGGAATGCCAGCATCATAGGTGGCGGCTTAATCCATTGTGCCACAGCACCAGGCTCACAAAAATATTTTCTAAATTTACATCATCTTGCAAAGTTTGAGTGAGAATCAATGAGCTCATAAGTGCTGTGCCATAATGATAATGAATTCTGTTCAGCTGCACAGTAGACCCCCCACCCCACCCCCGTTATCTGCTGGGGCTATTGCCAGGACCCCCCGAGGCTGCTTGCCTCCACAGATAGGGCCGAATCCTATGGGTGCTATGTGTTTGCCTGTACATAAACTAGGCGCAGTATGAGATTAGCAACAACAGCTAGCACTAAAATAGGACAGTTACAAGAATATCCGGGACTAAAAGTTATTTGAATGAATGTGGGCTGGCACTCCGGGGCTCTGTTTCTTTCTGAAAATCTCCTTCCTGTCCATGCAGCTCTTTGCTTAAAGGAAGCATGTGCGGCTTCTCTTGGGCATGGCCACACGGCCCGCATCACTGCTCTCGCCCTTCGGGGCCTTTACTGAGTAAACCAGGGTCACCTGCAGATGGGCACTGTGCTGCCGGGACAGCCGGTGTGGGACTGAGGCGACCACCAGGGGACAGGCAGAGATAGTCCGCTGGCTGACTGATGGCGAGTATTTCGTCACGTCGCTCAGAGTGGTGTGCAGGTCACCTCTGGCGAGTTGTTGATTTATGACCCGGGGTTGGCCGCGGGCAGCTGAAATCTCAGGAAGTGGAACTGTGCATTAGAGGGGAGCACCAGAAGTGCCCCAGGCTGGGGCGTGACGGGAGCACCGCCACAGAGCCAGCCACAGAGCCAGCCAGGCGGAGGGACCCGGCTGTGCGAGGGTGGGTGACAGCTCTCCTCCAGAGCGCGGGGCCCTGCTTTCTCTTGGCAGGGCTGTTCATGGTGAGTCTTGGTGTTTTATAGAATCTTTCTCGTACTACTGGAACAGGATGCCGTGGGGCTTTGTGGTTTTTGTGTCTTTGAGAGAACAGCCATCATCGGGGTAAAGTGCCCTTCTCATGACAGCATGTATTATCAGTAAGTATCTGTATTAGACGCAGGGGTGTTACTTTCACCATGACTTCTTAATTTTTAAAAGATTTATTTCAAAGGCAGGGTTACGGAGAGAGACAAGAGACAGAGACAGAGAAAACAGTCACCCATCTGCTGGCTTATTCACTCGATGGCTACAATGACCGGGGCTGGGCCAGGCCAAAGGCAGGAGCCAGGAGCTTCTTCCGGGTCTCCCACGCGGATGCAGGGGCCCAAGGAGTTGGGCCATGTTCTGCTGCTTTCCCAGGCACATGAGCAGGAAGCACTTGAACCAGTGCTCTTATGGGATGCGGCGCCAGAGGCAGCAGCTTAGACTGCCGCTCCACAGCGCCAGCCCTGCCCACCCCAACTATGACTTAATTGTTGGTGCTAACCCGGGTGGTGCTTGTCAGGTTTCCACCCTCTCCCGCTTCCCCTGCTGCGTGCAGGAAGGTCCCTGCGCAGCCCACACGGAGGCTGTGGGGAGTCGTGCTCTGCCTCCTGAGAGCAGAGTGCTGCGTGAATTGTTTGGTGTTCTGCCTGGGAGGTTTGTCCATTCTCTGCCATCTGTTTGTTTTCCCAGGCACCGTGGACTCATGGATGCTTGCTTGGTTCTTTAGCTCACAGTTGGCCCACAAACAGTAGGAAGTTGAACCACATGGGTCCACTTAACTGTGGGGAAAAACCTGCTGACCAACTATAGTCTAGAAATACTGAAAACACTTGTTTGGGGTTAGATAAGTCATAAATGCATAAAATGTATTCAGGCCACAGTCTATTTTATCGTTTACCACCAAGCTAATATAAAAAGTGAAATTTATCAAAAGTTACCAAACAGAGTATGCATGGTGCCATTTGCAGTCGAGAGAGTGCAGATGTGAAGATGCAATACGTCATAACCCCAGCACACGCTGTACTGCTCTAACGGTTTCATAGCCAGCTCCTGTGCTTTTGAGGTGAGCTCAAGGACTGCGAGGTCTGCTTTTATTGATTTATTTTTAAGATTTACTATTTTATTGAATTGAAAGGCGCCGTCCCCTTTCCCAGGCACATTCGCAGGGAGCTAGATCCAAAGGCAGCTGATGCCTCTGTGATCCCATAGGCTTGACCACTGCACCACTACACCAGCTCCGTGAGGGTCTGCTTCAGAGCTGTGTGCCGCTTAGCATCTCTCTGGAGCAGCTCTGTCGTTGGGTGTCTGCTGCAGTGAGAAGCGATCTCGTGGTTCTCGCGTGTTTTGCACCGTGTGTGACATGTAGGGTGCAAAGCCTGCGTTAGTCAACGATGTTATGCTAAACCTTGCAGTAACAGCAGGCTGGTAGCAGTGAGGTCCCCCCGTGTGGGGCTGCCCCTTCCCATTGTTTAGACATAACCTGTGCTGACGGGACCCAGTACTGTCGCATTTTAAAATCTGCTGCCCAGACAGTTCTGCTCCCCGTGTCCTACACACACGTACCCTCGTTGGGAGGTTCTCTCTTCGCTTGCTTTGAGCACTTCCTGCACCCTGGCTCATCGCGAGTGATTCCTGCCCCAGCCACTTCTCTAAGCACCGAGGTCATTTTGAATCCAATTTGAAAACTGTATTCTCAATTAGAAGGATTAGTAAATGTGAAGTAGAGAAAGATGGAACATTTGACTAACTCTCTTGTTCATTGCATAATCATGAAGAATTTATCTTTGCCATCTCCTAGGCTTATATTGCCTATTTATAAAGTTTTGAAAAGAAAAGATAGTTCCTGTGGTTAAAAAAATGGTAATAGGCAGTGAGATCATTTGGCAAGCACTTTTGAAGTTCTTGAAGAACTTCCCTCGACTGGATATGAGGAGACTGTATTCTGTACAGTTTTTGAACAGATTTTTGATCCTTCTTGGCTCTGTAGAATGAAGAAAATCACATTTGAGGCACATCACTATTACTTTGTGATCTCAGTTGTATAATTTTTTTTTTTTTTGACAGGCAGAGTGGACAGTGAGAGAGAGAGAGAGAGAGAAAGGTCTTCCTTTTGCCGTTGGTTCACCCTCCAATGGCCACCGCGGCCGGCGCACCGCGCTGATCCGATGGCAGGAGCCAGGTGCTTCTCCTGGTCTCCCATGGGGTGCAGGGCCCAAGTGCTTGGGCCATCCTCCACTGCACTCCCGGGCCACAGCAGAGAGCTGGCCTGGAAGAGGGGCAACGGGGACAGAACCCGGTGTGCCGGCGCCGAAAGGCGGAGGATTAGCCTAGTGAGCTGCGGCGCCGGCCTCAGTTGTATAATTTAAGATATTAGGCCAGCCCTCTGCAAAATAGTGCCAGCTGTATCAAATTTTACTAATAGATTTGTTTTCTTTTTTCAGTGCTTTTTTTTTTTTAAAGATTTATTTTATTTATTTGAAAGAGTTACAGAGAGACAGGCAGAGAGAGAGAGAGGTCTTCCATCTGCTGGTTCGCTCCCCAGATGGCCGAAATGGCTGGAGCTGGGCCGATCCACAGCCAGGAGCCAGGAGCTTCTTCTGGGTCTCCCATGTGGGTGCAGGGTTCCAAGCACTTGGATCATCTTCCACTGCTTTCCCTGGCCATAGCAGAGAGCTGGATTGGAAGAGGAGCAGCCGGTACAGTAACTGGTGCCCAGCGCCAGCCCCTCAAAGTGCTTTTTGTCCTTTGTATCATTTTGGTATTAAAATAGGCAGCTGCTTTAGGGTGGTACATTCAGCTTGTAAGAGAATTGTAGAGTCTGTTCTTTGGACATGCTGCCTGCTCTTGTACCAGCCGCTTGTGCATTACCTAGCATGTGTGTCTCCCTGAGGTCTAGTCAGACATCTCTGTGGACGCGCTGATTCCGTAGTGGTGGTCGCGTTTTCCCCGGGAGCGGCAGGGAGGACGGCCTAACACACTCGTTGCTCTCTCCATGCTCACAGAAGCCGATCCTGCACCGCAGAAGGAGGGTCAGGAAGCGCAAGCACCACAACAGCAGTGTCGTGACGGAGACCATCTCCGAGACCACGGAGGTGCTGGACGAGCCCTTCGAGGACTCGGACTCGGAGCGGCCCATGCCGAGGTTAGAGCCCACCTTCGAGATCGACGAGGAGGAGGAGGAGGAGGATGAAAACGAGCTCTTCCACAGAGGCTACTTCCACCGTCTGTCCTCACAGGACGTGCTCAGGGGCCGGGCCTCTGCCAAGAGGAAGTCTAAAGACGAAGACGACGACGAGGAGTCCGATGATGCTGAAGGTATGTCTCTGCGGTGGGGTCGCGTCCTCCACGCTCAGGGCGGCGCGGCTGCCCCAAGCTGCTCGCCGAGAACAGGGTGCGTGGCGCTCTCCGGGAAGCCGGGTCGAGCCTGTCCCCCTCACGGGTTCGTCTAGCTTCCCTCCAACCCAGGCGCCGTTTTTGCCCCTGTAGAAGGTAGTTTACCTTCAGCCTTTGTCTGACTCTTCAGCTGGTGAGAGTGGAGTGAGGCTCGGGGAGATGTGACGGTCCCCGGCTGGAGTGGGCAGCCTCCAGACCTTGTCCCTCTCGCTCACTGCCATGTGCTGGGCTTTGCGATGAACACTGGCTAATATTGTTAAGTGATGGAAGCTGAGGGACCACTCTCCCATCAGCACAGGTTGCCTGGACGGGGATCCTTCCCGAATCTTACCGCTGATGCGTCTCTCCCGGCTCGCAGTACGTTTCTAATACATGCTGACAGTGATTTGACATAAGTTACATGTCACGATGCAGATACAAGTCCAGTCACTTCTAAAATAGCCTGAGAAACGCGTGCCCATAGATGAGCCGAGTCAAGGCGAGGCAAGGCACCCTGGCCTCAAGTCTTTGCCAGAGGCGCGTGCTGCCCATGCCTGCTGTGTGTCTGCCTGGGGTGGGCGCAGACTAAGCTCACTTTACTTCACTGGGTGAAGTCCACCCTTGGCATTTACACCCTCAGTTCATGCCTCCGCGAGTTGAACTTTGTGTTCTAAATCCATTCCATTTCAAACCTGGGCAATAACTGGCTTTTCTCAATTGTTCTATTTTTGTGTGACAAATAACTTTAATATAGTGTTAAAATGACTGCGTTCTTTGCCTTCTTGTGAGTGATGCTCCAACGTTTACTGCTGTACAGTTCTAAGTGTCCACTTTGTAAATTCGGCACTTGCTGTTCGGGGTGGCGTTGTGCGCTGAAGCAGCCTCCTGTTCACTGGGCCAGCTGTCTCTGACGGAGCCGCGTGCTTCGCTCGCTTTAAGGTAGCACCGCGGAGCGCACCCTGCTGTTCTCACCGGGCGTTCTTATCCTTTACAAGTTAGTGGGCAGTGTGCACTGTGTACTTACAGGTGCTGGAAGTGGTTTATGGTACATGTATCTTACTGCCGTTTAGAAGAGAATAAGAGAAATAACACTCATATGAAATCGTAACAAACACCGTTGGTGCTTTAACTTTCTCGTGCTCATTTAGGACTAAGTGTCAGCACCTGCCTTGGACTAAATGCTTCCGTGTAGACACAGTACAGCCTGCACAGCCGTGGCCTGACGTCGCCGGCTGGTGACATTGCTGGAAGTCAGGATTTCATGGGAAGGAAGAAAAGCAGAGAGTTAGGTAGACTGCAGATAGGGAAACCAGAGAGGAAACAAGCCGATCTGTGACCGGCACAGTGACGTCAGCTGCATCCAACCATTGCTTCTGTATGCGCCTGAAGCTTACCTGTTTTATAGCGATCTAACTGAAACTTGGAGTAGCTTCCCAAAGCAGCCGCACAGCTAGTAAGCCTGAGCCGCTTTTAACAGCCACAGCAACAGGCTATGGGGCACAAGTCCCTCCCTCTTCTGCCAGTTCTCTGTGCCGCTTTGGAAGATGTTGTTTGCCAGGTGTGTCCCTTAGATGCTTAGCGCTCAGTCGTTAGGAAGAGATGACTAATAAGCTCATTTCTGTCGTGCGTCCTGGCCTCGGGAAAAGGCCCTGGAAGCAGAAAGTCTCGTAACCTGTCTGGTACTTTCTTCTCCCTCCCGTGCAGACACTCCTGTCCTGAAGCCAGTATCTCTCTTGCGAAAATGTGCCGGGAAGAATTCTCCCCTTGAGCCAGACACGTCCACGCCCATGAAAAAGAAAAAGGGGTGGCCCAAAGGCAAGAGCCGCAAACCGGTCCACTGGAAGAAGAGGCCTGGCCGGAAGCCGGGATTCAAGCTCAGCAGGGAGCTCATGCCCATTTCTGCCCAGGAGTGCGTCGTGGAGCCCATGGTTCCCATGCCGAAACCCGGACGCAAGCCCAGAATGCAAGAGCACGAAGAAGCCATTGAGCCCCAGGAAGACTTGCCCTCGTCTGAAGAGAGGAAGGAGGAGGAGGCGCGAGCCGACAGGGAGGAGGGCGGCGAGGCGGAAGAGGAGGACACGACCTGCTGCAGCGAGGTGAGAGTGGCTTCCCCGGCCAACAGCAGCAACAGCCCCGAGGCGGCCGCCAAGGAGCGCGAGGCGGAGGAGGCGGAGGCAGAGGAGGAGGAGGAGGAGGAGGAAGAGGAGGAGAAGCCGCGCGCCGCCGCCGCCGCCGCCGCCGCCGAGCAGAGGCAGTCGGAGGAAGAGCCTCCGGAGCCGGAGGAGCAGGAGCCGGAGGACGAGGAGGACGTGGCCGCCGAGGCCAGCCGGCACGAAGACCACGACGCGGACGATGAGGACGACGGGCCGCTGGAGCCGGCGCAGGCGCAGGAGCCGGAGCAGCGGGCCCTGCGGGAGTGCGGCGAGCAGGCGCCTGGTGGCCCGCAGTCTTTTTTAGACCCGGACGCGCCCAGCTGCGGTGAGCGCCCGAAGGAGAAGGACGACACGGAGCCGGACTCTGAGGAGGAGCAGCCCTCCCACGAGACGTCTGTGCTGTCCGAGCACGGCCACGAGGACGCTGCCCCGCGCAAGGAGGAGCTGGTGGGGCTGAAGGCCGAGCCGGAGATTGCGCACAGCGAGCTGGACCTGGAGACCGTGCAGGCTGTGCAGTCCTTGACCCAGGAGGAGAGCAGCGAGCACGAGGGGGCCTACCCGGACTGCGAGGAGACCCTGGCGGCCTGCCAGACCCTGCAGAGCTACACGCAGGCCGAGGAGGACCCGCCCATGGCCATGGTGGAGGACTGCCACGCCTCGGAGCACAACAGCCCCATCTCCTCAGTGCCGTCCCATCCCAGCCAGTCGGTCCGCTCGGTCAGCAGCCCCAGCGTGCCTGCCCTGGAGGGCGGCTACACCCAGATCAGCCCGGAGCAAGGATCCCTGTCCGCGCCCTCTATGCAGAACATGGAGACCAGCCCCATGATGGATGTGCCTTCCGTATCAGACCACTCTCAGCAGGTGGTGGACAGCGGCTTCAGCGACCTGGGCAGCATCGAGAGCACCACGGAGAACTACGAGAACCCCAGCAGCTACGACTCCACCCTGGGCGGCAGCATCTGCGGCGCCAGCTCGTCCCAGAGCAGCTGCTCCTACGGCGGCCTGTCGTCGTCCAGCGGCCTCACCCAGAACAGCTGCGTTGTCACCCAGCAGATGGCCGGCATGGGCAGCAGCTGCAGCCTGCTGCAGCCGAGCAGCGTGCCGCCTGCTGCCAACTGCAGCATCAAGTCGCCTCAGACCTGCGTGCTGGAGAGGCCGCCCAGCAACCAGCAGCAGCCGCCCCCGCCGCCGCAGCCCCCCCAGCCGCAGCAGCCGTCCCTGGCCCCGCAGCCGCCGCCCCCGCCCCAGCAGCCGCCGCCGCAGCCCCAGCCGCCCCCGCCGCCCCCGCCGCCGCAGCAGCCGCCGCCGCAGCCGCAGCCCCCGCAGCCGCAGGCCCCGCCCCCGCCGCAGCAGCAGGCGCCCCTGTCGCAGTGTAGCATGAACAACAGCTTCACGCCAGCTCCCATGATCATGGAGATCCCGGAGTCCGGCGGCACCGGGAACATAAGCATCTACGAGAGGATTCCAGGGGACTTCGGGGCCGGCAGCTACTCCCAGCCGTCAGCCACCTTCAGTCTGGCCAAGCTGCAGCAGCTCACCAACACCATTATGGACCCCCACGCCCTGCCTTACAGCCATTCTCCTGCGGTGACCTCCTATGCAACCAGTGTTTCTCTGTCTAACACAGGACTGGCTCAGCTGGCTCCATCTCACCCGTTGGCTGGGACCCCTCAAGCACAAGCCACCATGACGCCGCCGCCCAACTTGGCATCCACGACCATGAACCTCACATCCCCGCTGCTGCAGTGCAACATGCCCGCCACCAACATCGGCATTCCGCACACCCAGCGGTTGCAGGGGCAGATGCCAGTCAAGGGGCACATTTCCATCCGCTCCAAGTCGGCGCCGCTGCCCTCCGCGCCCACTCACCAGCAGCAGCTGTATGGCCGCAGCCCGCCGGCGGTGGCCATGCAGGCCGGCCCTCGCGCGCTGGCTGTGCAGCGAGGCATGAACATGGGGGTCAACTTGATGCCGACCCCCGCCTATAACGTCAATTCCATGAACATGAACACCCTGAACGCCATGAACAGCTATCGGATGACACAGCCCATGATGAACAGCAGTTACCATAGTAACCCTGCCTACATGAACCAGACAGCACAGTATCCTATGCAGATGCAGATGGGGATGATGGGGAGCCAGGCCTATACCCAGCAGCCTATGCAGCCAAACCCTCACGGGAACATGATGTACACGGGCCCCTCCCATCACAGCTATATGAACGCTGCTGGGGTGCCCAAGCAGTCACTCAATGGACCTTACATGAGAAGGTGAGCAAGACGGACTCACGGTCACAGACTTAAATATATATAAATAAAGGAACCTTTTATACTGACAAACCAGAGAAAAACGGACCTTTTTTCCAGTTAAAATATTGCTGTAGATTTAGAGGGATTTTTTTTCCTTTGGTTTATTTTGTTTTTTAGGAAACCTGATCTCTCTTTTCGGGTTCGTTTTGTTCTGGGTTTTGGTTCTCTTCACAATCTTGAACATTTTACAGTGGAATTCATCTAAAGATGGATCTGGGACAGGGGAAACATGCACAAAACCTTTTTCATAATTAAAAAGAGCCTTACTTTCTTTACACACCACGCGGACGGAACTTGTGTAAACGTGAATTATCCTTATTTTATTTGAAAGCGTGTGTTTCCCTCACGTGTGCAGCCCCCAGTGTTGGCATTTCTAAATGTTATACAGACATCTCGAGGGGTAGCCGGGCCCTCTCCTCCCAGCCCCGTCTGTCTTTTCGGACTTCATTCCAACAGGAGGCACTTAGCAGGAGACTCAGACGGGGACGTGGAGCGCTACCCAAGCTCCTTCAACGTTGTTATTGTTAATATTATTGTTATTATTAATACAATGAGGCAGGAAGACACTTCTCCTTTGAAAATCCCCTCCGCTACACACACACACACACACACACACACACACTCACACTCCCACACTCCCACTCCCACTCACTCCCTCCAGCTCTTGAGACTTTCCCCCCAGGAATGTTTCTTTATAGGTGGACTTCAATGGACATGTTTTGCTTGAATCAAGTGTAGTATGATTTATCCCTCTTTTTTTTTTTTTTTAAATTCCCACTCAGCACTCAGATAACACAATTGCTGTAAGTCTGCAGCAGCGGCAGAGTCTGAGAGGCAGGCCGTCGGCAGGGCTAACCCCGCCTTGGGAGGACAGAGGCGGGCCATGGGCATTGAGAGAGGGCCTTGATCTCTTGGCTTCTCAGCACCCGGGCACCCGGCCTCTTGTCCCAGGGTGTGCTGGCCCGCCCCCGCAGCGGCTCACTCCGCTGGAACTCAAAGCACAGCCCCCGCTGAGCCCCCTCTCCCGTTCTGTCACACACTGTGCTTCTCGGTGATTGGAGAGCTACCTGACGCACCTTGGACGAGAGATGCCGCAGAACGTGTGTTGGGGAGGGAGCTCTGGGGGGAGCCGTGTGGCTGTTCAAACGACACATGCCCCGCGTTGTCGCTGGTCCTTGAGCTCCTGAGTGCTGCAGCCAGTGGCCCACCAGCGGCAGGTGGGGCAGATCTGGATGCCAGCACTTCAGCGGGTTCTCGCGTTGCTCCCAGTCCGTTCTCTTATCCTGTGCAACCTGTTCGCCCGTTCTCTTCCTGTTACTTGCTCCAGGGATAGGTTAAAAAAAAAAAACACAAAAACAAAAAAAAAAACCAAACATATATATACATATATATGTTTATACACTCCATCATTAGAAGATGGAAACTATTATACCACTTGGTATGTGCATTCGAATATCCAAAAGGGGGAAGTGCTGCTTAAAGAAATACCTGTAAGCATTCAATTCTCTCCTTTATTTGTACACTTTCTATAGATACATTTTTAATGTACTGATTAGGCATTAAATTTTTTCAGATGCACAGGTTTGTTGGTTTTTTTATACACTTTAATTGACTTTCTCAATGAAGTGTGCTAGGTAGAAAAAGGCAGAATTCCACATCTTAGCACTGTCGACTCTGAGCATGTGCAGGGCTGTCTGTGCGTACTCCTCCAGGCTGGTCATCTCTGGGAAGTGCCCCGGCACCCCTCCCTGCTTCTTCAGCTGACGCTGCTTCCTGGGTGGGGGGCTGTGTCGGGAGGAGGGGTGTCAGGCAGGAGGAGCTGCGAGATGAGGGCCGTGAATTCAGTTTTCTGTTAGTTTGCGGTTGTGTTTGGTTTTGTTTCTTTAAATAAATAATAAAAAAATTCAATCGGGCAGCTCCCTTTTCCACAAGCCTCTTTGTGACTGTAGAACTATTGTAGAAAAAAAATGTTCTTTTCTATATTATAAAAGAAATTATCCAACACAGTAATATTGGTACCTGTCATTTTTTCACTTCTGTTTAAAAAAAATGTATTTTTAGCAAGATAACTTGGGTAATCTTCTAAAAAAGAAATTTAAAAACTCACTCTTAGTGACTTTGATGCCTTTTAAAAATAAGAGCTTTTTCATTTCATTCCATCTTTAAAGTTTTTTATCTTTGTTGTAGAATATTAAAAACTATTTTAAGAAAGATAAAAATTCTCTTTAAAGAGATCTCTAGAGTGTGTGAATAGAGATGCCTCTAAAGCCGCATGTACAAACGAAGCTAAGTCCACTCCTGTCTGTTTCTGTTTGCTTTTCCTGTTTTGTAACCTCTTTGTACTTGGTTCATGGTGACTTGTAAGCTAGGGGAGGGAGCCCAGATGCCTTTGTATCTCTCCACGTCACGCGCTCCTGGGCCGTCGGCCTCCCTTCCTGTCCTTGTATGTAATACCCTCCCGCCCCCCCCCCCTTTCTAGCAAGTACTTTCAAAAGAGCTCTGTACATTTTAACATAAAAAAATAAATTATGTTGAGCCATTTTGGATGTCAGTTGTGCCTGTGGACTTCTTCCCCTTTCCAAATGCCGCAGACTCCCGCCTTCTCTTTCCCCAAAGATGTTAGGAGCGCTCGGTTTCCTTAGTTAAGGAAACCCGTTTGGGAACTTCCAAGGGCATCGGCATTCGCCCAGCCAGAGACCGCAGACGCTTGCGTGCGCCGACGGGAAGCGCCGAGACTTGGAGTGCATCGAAGAGTAAGTTTTATTGATCCCGTTTTATGACCTAACTCAAGGTGTTCCTAAAAGCATCACAGTTTTTCTCTGACCCCGTTTAACCGGTGTCATCTAGGAACGCTCGTCACTGCCAGGTTTCAAGATCCCAAACATGGGTGATTTTGCTCTTTTTCTTCTGTGTGTGTGATTTAAAACTTTGAACATAAGGAAGATTGTAGAAAGCCTGGGGAAGCCGGTGTCAAGTTCCATGTGGGAGAAGGTGGGCGGCTGGGAGCGTAGCGGCCTCTATCCTTGGCTGTTTTCAAACTGGCTTCCTGGGTGAGGAGTCCGCGTGGCCTTTGTTCTGAGCTCTCAAAGGTGAGAGTCGCCTGTGTGGTCTGCAGAGAGCGCCTGCGACCCCCATGCACACCGCCAGGACACTGCGGTCGGCCGGGTCAGTGGCCGGCCTGAGCACTTGCTTCGCAGAGCACCTGTGCGGAGTGGCCCCGACAGAGAGCCGTTGGGGTTTTTCTGCAGAGAGAACTGACCAACGAACAGGTTGTGGGTGTGCAAGGCATTGCACTGACGTTGGCATCTCCCCCCGAGGTCGATAAGCAGAGAAGCAGCAGTCCCACCCTTGTGGCATCTCGGGTGGTGCCCAGCTCCCTTCACCCCTGGTGACAACCGTGTGCATGCACCAAGCAGCGATTCCTGGCTGTCCGCCTTACAGCTGGGGATGGACAGGGGATGGATGAGAACTCCATCTGGGACAAGAACTCCTATGGATGGCAGGGGCTCAAGCACTTGGGCCATCTGCTGCTGCCTTCCCAGGTGCATTAGCAGGGAGCTGGACCAGAAGCGGAGCAGCTGGGACTCGAGCATGGGAAATGGAGGCTTAACCCACAGCACCCCAGCACCAGCCCCCAGGTAACTGCTCTTGTTGGCAAAGCAGCGTTTGCAGGCCTGCCCGGACGTGTGCTTGGGGTGGCATTCGGGAAAGCTCCACATCGTTCCAGCAAAACGGTTCCATCAGCGAGCTCGCGAGACCACCGAGGGTAACCTCCTTCAACACTGGGACACGTCTGCAAGTCATGGGCACGGTCACCTGGACTAACAGCCTACAGACCCACATGTTAGTCTCAGAAAGGACAGGATGGGTTGTTAGCGGAGCTGACTGTTACATAGTGCACGGCAGGCCGGGGAGTTTCCCCCAGAGTGACAGCTACTTTCGTGGAGATCCCTTGCATTGTTCACGTGGAGCCTAAATGTTGGCCTGCAGATTAGCTACGGGGCGAAGAGGTGCTAGCTGTCATTTCTGCTGAGATTCGGAAAGCTGTGGGGTCTGCTGGGCTGCCGTTTGGAAGATATTTAAAAACAGCACAGAACCAGAACCACAGAGTGGCGGCTATATGCAAAGAAACTTCCTCCGTGTGGAATACACATTCTTGTTATTTCAAAGGGGAAAAAAAACCCCAAAGTTGAACTCTTCACTAAATAGTCCCAAGGCCCTAGCAACCCATCTTCAAAGACAGATGTCAACCAGCGGGGCCGCAGACATGTGCTGTGGAGCCCCCGAGCCCAGGTCTGCTCACGGGACACCCAGCGGCCTGAGCCCTTGTCTCTCGGCAAGACGCAGAGCGGGCCCCCAGCCTCCTGTGCACTCCCCTATATGCAGGTCTCTGGCTGGCCTGTGGTGCTCAGTGACTGGCCAGTGAGAAGACAGCCGTGGGGAACTGCTGCGGATTTTCATGATGGCCAAAGGGAGCGCCGGCTGATCCAGGGACTGTGTGCAGCTGGCCTGTTGAACTGGGTGCTTGGGACCTGGGCACCCATGTGGGCACTGGCTCCATTTCCTTTCCAGCTCCCTGCCAATGTGCCTGGGAAGGAAGCAGAAGATGGCCCAAGTGCTTGGGCCCCTGCACCTGCATGGGAGACCCGGATGGAGCTCCTAGTTCCTGGCTTTGGCCTGGCCCAGACCCAGTCATTGTAGCCATTTAGGGAGTAAACCAGCAGATGGAAGATATTTCTCTCTCTCTCTCTCTCTCTCTCTCTCTCTCTAACTCTGCCTCTCAAATAAATAAATGAATAGACCTTTTTAAAAAGGGAAGGAAAAAAACTTGTTAGGTGCTCTGGTCCATGTACAAACAAATTTTAATTGTTTAATTGATGTACATTTAATAAAATTGACTTGATCTAATTTTCTTTTGAAGACAGGAAGCCATTGTAGTTAATGATGACGAGGGGATTGATCATAGTTTTGCAAAGAAACTGCAAACCTTGGCAAGGCGGCAGGAATGAAGGCGTCATTACCTGCAGAGAGCTTGTGCGGAAGCTTGTCTGAGCTCCTGCTTAGGAAAGATACCTAGAGCTGACTAGAGCTTGTAGTTGATATCCTCAGAGGGTTGCGTCTTGATTGAGACTTGTCAGTGATCAAGCTGAACACTGTGGATATTTTTTTCTAAGATCTATTTTATTTATTTGAGAGAGTTACAGAGAGAGGTAGAGACAGAGAAGTCTTCCATTTCCTGGCTCACTCCCCAAATTGGCTGCAACGGCCAGAGCTGTGCCGATCCGAAACCAGGAGCTTCCTCCAGGTCTCCCATGCAGGTGCAGTAGCCCAAGGACTTGGACCATCTTCTACTGTTTTCCCAGGCCATAGCAGGGAGCTGGATTGGAAGTGGGACAGCTGAGACTTGAACCGGCACCCATAGGGGGTGCGGGCACTGCAGGCGGCGGCTTTACCTGCTGCTCCACAGCGTCGGCCTCAGCACTGGATTATTGCAAGAACAACTTTAAAGGGCCAAAGAAGTAACTCTGCTCAAAAAATGCAAAGGAAAACAAGCCACAAATGGCCACATAGCCAGCTTATCAGTTATTGCTTAATTCACAGACAGTGCCTTTGTTGCATGAAAATATGTCAAAAAGTTCATGGAAATGGAATTAAAAGGGTTGGTTAAGTCGCTATTTGGGATTCCTGCATCTCATATTGTAGTGCCTGTTTTTTTTTTAAAATGAGATTTTCTTCTTTTTTTTTTTTTTAATTTTTTTATTTGAAAGGCAGAGTTACAGAGAGGCAGAGGCAGAGAGAGAGAGAGAGAGGGAGGTCTTCTATGTGGGGAGCAACTCGGACTAGACTAAGTTACTGGAATTAAGACTTATTCTGTGCATCTGCTCTCCCACAATATGGCGCTGAGAAGGGAGAAACAGTTTCTACACAGCTGCCTCCAGTTCAACCAATAAACTGTAGGACCTGCTCCTGATTGGAGAAGAGCAGCGTACTCGGCGTGTGGGTAGCAGAGTTGGGATTGGTGGAAGAGGACTATAAAGGAGGAGAGAGACAACATGCACCAGGAACATCTAAGGGGAACATCTGAAGGAACACCTGTGCAGCCCCCGAGAGAGCCGGCCGGCGGTGTGCCGCTCCCCCGCGGAAGTGGGGAAAGTGGCAGGGGGAACCGCCCTTCCACGGAGGTGGAAGGGATGGCAGCCAACCCGGGAAGAACCAGCAGCAAACCCAGGGAGGGCCGAGCAGACAAGAGAACAGCGCAGGGTCCTGTGTCGTTCCTCCACGAAGAGGGGGAGCGACACTTCTATTCACTGGTTCACTCCCCAAATGGCTGCAATGGCCAGAACCGCACCAATCTGAAGCCAGGAGCTTCTTCCAGGTCTCCCACGTGGTTGCAGGGGCCCAAACACTTGGGCCATCTTCCACTGCTTTCCCAGGTGCACTAGCAAGGAGCTGGATCAGAAGTGGAGCAGCCGGGACTCGAACAGGTGCTCAAATGAGATGCCGCGTAGCAGTTAGCAGCAGCTTAACCAACTGCACCACAGTGCTGGCCCCAATAAATACCTGAGAAAGGTAAGTTAATCTTCATGTAAAAGCAGTGAAAGCCCTATGTGTGTGTGCTGTGACACACGCTTCCCAAGAACTGTGCCAGAGCCGGGGTCCTTGTCCTCTGCTGTTCTCTTCCTATCTGGCAGTCATATGGTTTCGCATGCTGCAGTGAGGCCGGCTGTGGTTTGGATGCGGCCTGTCATCCAGGGGTTCCCAGTGAGGCGGTGGGGAGGAGGGCAGGGAGCTTTGAGACTTGGGGCCTGGCAGAAGGAAGGGGAACCACGGAGGAGAGAGAGAGAAAGAGAGATGGTTCACTCTCCAGATACCTACAGTGACCGGAGCTAAGGTCGAAGCTAGGATCCAGGCACTCAATCCAGGTCTCCCACGTGGCTGACAATGACGAAACTATTGGAACCATCACCTGCTGCCTTCCAGGGGGAGCCCTGGCAGCAAGCTGGAGACAGGAGGTGGAAGCAGTACTGAAACCCAGGCCTCTGATAGGGGATGTGGGCATCCAAACGGAGCTTAACCACTGGACCAAGCACTCCCCACCCCCACCCCACCCCGCCCACTGTTTCCCATGGTTTGGCCATTTCTCCAGCACCACTTGCTGTAAAGGATATCTTGTCTTTGTCGGGTTCACTTTGCTCCTTTGTCAAAGAGCAGCGACAGTATGCGTGTGGGTCTGTTTCTGGGCCCTCTGCTCCGGTCCATCTTTCTTTTTGTCTTTTTTTTTTTTTTTAAACCTATATGACACTCTCTTGATAACTGCTGCTTTCTAGAAGATTGTCTTTTAAGGTTTATTTATTTGAGAGAGTTCCAGAGAGAGAGGTCTTCCATCCGCTGGCTCACTCCCCAGATGGCTGCAACGGCCGGAGCTGCACCGATCTGGAGCCAGGAGCCTCGAGCCTCTGCTGAGTCTTCCACCCGGATACAGGGGCCCAAGGACCTGGGCCATCTTCCACTGCCTTCCCAGGCCATAGCAGAGAGCTGGATGGGAAGTGG